ATTTCTTTTTTATAAGATTTACAGTATTTTGAAATGAGATTTACTGCAGCCCTGTAGGACTGGGAGCTGAATTACATGGGGGTCATAATAACATAAATGGCAGTTTGAGCAAGGCATATCAGCAACATGATAAAAAAACCTAACAAACCCAGTTGTTAAGAACTACTTCTAGGTACACAGAGATCTTTGCCACACACAGACGAAATCATTCTATTCCACTGATATGATTTTTTTTCTATAAAACTTGCATAATATATTGAAAATAAGTAGTCTAGAAAGGCCTAAGAGGAGAAAAATCAGTGACAATGAGGTATGTGATTACTACACGGCACTGAGAAGAAAAGTAGAACCTGTTTGAAAATCTTTCTGCACCTTACAGCAATCATTTCACTGCAGAGAATCTCTTACATGCACTCTCCGTGATCATAGCAAGATTATTCATTCAGCAAAACTCCTATTAACAAATAGAAAGTAAGTAAATCTACCATTTACTCTCTATTCAAGTAAACGCAGCATTTTCCCTGCAACGCTACTTTCTCGCAGGGTGACTGTCCCCTGCTCCTCCATGAAGCAAGCTCAGCCCAGGCAGCCATGTCCTTATTCTCCTACGAACAATGTTTCTGAAGGAGAACAAGCCCCACTCAGCGAACTTACGGGCTCCCCCAGCGTAACGCGGCAGAGCAAAGCCTGCCCCACCGTCAGCAAATGAGCTAAGGTACCAAAACACAGCAGTGGGGGCGAAGCAGCAGGCTTCGCCCCGTTCCCTTCCCTCCCCGGCGATCGGAGCCCGGCTGCCGGCAGCGCAGATCAGAAAATGGGGGTGGACGGCGCGTAGGGGGAGCGAGGAGCCCTCGGCTCTCGGTCTCGCTTTATCTAAAATGGCGCTGGCGAGGCTGGGCTGCTCGCCTCGGAGCTGTGGAAGCAGCTAGGGAGGCTCTGCCGCCTCCGTCGCGTTCACATCTCTTAAGTTGAGCTCTGGAAAATGAATTAGCTTTCCTTTGGTTTGACCCTGGCGTCTTGGGCGGGGGTTAGCTACCAACAAGTTGGGCACAAAATGGCAATTTTAATCTGAAAAGCGATTCAGGAGTAGTCATGGTTTCTACCTGCTCGTTTTCTGTCTTCAGGTCAGCCTGCAGCTTAAAAACCCTCCCTGCCTGTGACCTGTCACAAGCATAGTGCAAGGAGTTTGACAGCCCAGGTGGTGGTGTCTGGCTTCTGTAGCGTTCGTGCTCCGTTGTATCTGGAAATCCTATTAAAATCGAAGCACAATTCCATCAATAGTGTGTTATTCCTGTTCTGGCGTTAGTGTTGAAATTGGAGCTGTGGAAAGCTGCTTGTTTACTTAGCTGCATCTGCGGGGAAAGTGCGTGACTATCCTTAGACTTGTGGGAAGTTGCCTACCCTTAAGCTGAATACAAGGTTTTGTTCGATATCAGCCTAGGAAGGATTCTAAAGAGGACTTGGCTAATTAGAATGAGAATGTGGACTAAGGTGACAAGCATCCTGCCCAAATTACATTTGGATTGAGGGCCTTGATAGCCTTTTTGAAACAATACACATTCAGAACAGTTTCTGTGTATTCCTTCTGAAACTCACTTTCTCACTCTTACATCCCCCTATCTGGGGCTTTCTTTTTCACTGGTTACAATGAAACCACTGTCTCCACGGTCTAAATCCTGTGATGGAGCAGATTTAGGAACTTTCTGGATGGCTTCTGTGCGCTTATGGCTCTCTGCTCCTATGGTGGATCTCCTTTATTTTCTGTGAAACTGTACCGTGGTTGGAGCCACTGTGAGAACATTGCTTTTTAAAAATACCATCTGTATATTTAACCCGGACAATTTCAATGATCGTATTCCCCTAATTTGGAGGAGGGGGAGAATATTCTGCAGAATGGGTTGGAAGGGATGGGGTGAGAAGCCGTTTTACAAAGTTCCAAAGTGAAGATTTTTCTTGATGTGTAACCTAGAATTAATATTATTTGCATCCTCTCTAGAAAGCTCCTAGGTGCAGATCACAGCCTCAAGTGTAGTTTTAGAGTAGTTCTGGTTGATGGAAGCCTGTGTCACCATCTTAATCTAGTGTCTTGTGTATTTTCAAAGAGATCGAGAGGTTTGTTGCAGTCTGAAACAATTCGGGGGGGGCTCTCTGTGATTGCATGGCCTGTGCCCATAACAGCTGTTCTGTGTGCTTATGTGGGGATACTGAGAAATAACTGGAAAAATAACTTAGTCATGCATAAATTGAAATGTGTGCACTGGTTTGAAAGGCGAAATGGCCTTAACTGCTTTAATCCTTGTATGTGTAATCAATTCTTGCACTTTCACTGACAAAAGGCTTTGCATTCCCTTTCATTTACTGCTTAACTCCTGGCAGCTCTACTTTTTATTAGGAGGTGCTGACTGAGATCTTCCCTCTAAATGTCTTTGCTGAGAAGACTTTCTGCAACAGTGTAACTTCCGTAGTAAATTGGTCAGTCATCTAGGCAGGAAACCCTCAATATCAAGCATTTCCCAAGCGTGTCAAAGAGGAGTAATACTACAAGTCTCATGTTGTATTCTTGGTTACAGGCCTTTATAAGCAACATCATTTACATATTTCTTTAAGTGTCCCTTTCTTTGTGTAAGTTTGGGGGAGCTTGTGCTCACTGTTCTGGTTTTGGTGAGTGTGTTAGATATGTAGTTGTCTGAACAATCATCAGACTGTTTCTCTTTTCCTTAGTGGAGGTTACCTATCACTTCATTTAAAGGTAGCATAGCAGTCTAGAAAAGTTGAACTCTGTAGTGATTTAAGCTAAGTTACCATTCACTCTTTGTCTTACTTTTTTGCTTCCCTTTTATCTAAAAAAAAAATAAAAATCTTGGCACTTCTAGGAGAAGTGCACACCTAATTTTCTGGTGATAAGCAAAGCAGCATTTCAGGTGGGCTCCTATTAGTTTTGTGCCAAAAGATGCAAATATTTAGTTTGATGCTGTGTCATACTAGTGAATTTCAAGTTAGTTGGGGATTCTGATATTGACAGTGTCCTACAGACAGGCAAGAAACATCCTAATTACCTGAGGGGAGAGGAAGAACTTAATATTAACTTTTAAGCAGTAACTTTTACATAGAAGCAATTCCAACCCTAACATCTCTTCCTAGCTATGTTGGATAGCTAGGCGTTTTCAATTCTAAACCATCTGTGTGGCTTTTTGACAAATAATAGTCACAGGAGAGCTGCTAAGTTGATAGCATGTCCTTATATCCATCTCTACCAGCTGCTTTCTTAACACATCTGGAGGTGGACTGTGATAATCTTTTTGATTTCACTTCCTCAGCAAAGTCCTTTGAGACTTACGCTTGATATGTAAAGGTACAGTTTGACGGTTGACTCTCAGTGGCAGTACTGGCTTAAAAGCAGTTCCTATCCCTTCAGTTCTACCCACAAGCTGAAAACAAACCAGGGAGTCAAGGGTGTCAAATCTGATTTAGATTACTGTGTGGCCTGTCAGCTAGTTCTGCTGGCACACCGTGAGATAGGATGGAAAGGCTGTATTCCTTATTGTGGCATTGCTGCTAAGAAACTATGCAAAGGTTTCCCAAAAGGGAAAGTCTTATGAATGTTTTGTTGGCAACTGAGTTTGCTTAAATAGCCTTCCCTGCCCCTGAAGTGCTGATCCATTTGGTTAACATACACAGTGAAACGAATAAAGGAATTGATCCACACCTAAGATTGGAAACTAGTTATTAATGCAGATCGGTTTCCAAGTCTGGACTGCTACAAATACTTAAGGGTGTGGTGAAAATGGGAGTAGACAGGAACTGACTGAGCTATACTGAAAGGGGAAGAAGGGTCACGATGAATGAAGACAAATACCAGTGTGTCCAGGTAGCTCAAGTGGAAGCAGTAATCTTAATGCTGATCTTTTGCGTTTTTGATGGGAAAGTATTGCTGGATTATTTTGGGCAAGTGTGGAACAGTTTATTCCACTCACGTTAAACACTCCTCTTAGTGTACCTACATTAAAAACGATTCAATCCATACTTATATAAATTATCCATAAAAATAATTATTTTAAAGTCATATTTATAACTATTCAGTTTCTCCAGGGGCAAAAAGTACATCATTTCTAGCTAAGTACACAGCTAAGTAGCTGAGAAATGATGCTGAAGTAGCATGAGACTTTATGCTACTGCTGCAGTTCCTGTCTTAAAATGACATTAGAAGAATTGTTTTGAGCTGCTGCATCTGCAGTGCAGTAAGGAGGGCTAGAGGTGAAAGGACAGAAAATCTATTCTAGAAAACAGTCTGAAAAAAAATCCAGATATAGATGACCAAAGGTATGTGAACTGAAACATAATCAATAGAAATTTTTTGAGCTATGTAGGGAATGGATGCTAAAAGATCATAGGAGTCTGATGTATATAGGAAAGTGTAAAGATGACTGTGTGCTTAGAGGTAAGAAAATGGTATATTCCTGTTCTACCTTTTAAAACAGGACTGAAGAATTCTATCAGAAGGCTGAAGCTAGTGTTCAACTTGTTTAGGTTGCTTTGGTGTGAGGAGTATTTTCTGCTCTTGGGCATCTCCACTTTTGTATGGGGAAAGCACCTAGGGAGGTCTGATCAGATTAATCATATGAGGTTTTGTATGTGCTGAGTGTCTTCTCTAAAGACTTACAGTGGCAGCTTCATTGTTGTGATTGCTAATGTTTTAAATACTTTATCATGTAAGTAATACATATAAAAGAGCAAACAAAGTCCAGGACTTGGTTTAAACATTATTTATGAATAATGAAAAAACCCCTGTATTTAGTACACATACTTGTTTATGAATAATGAAAAAACCCCTGTATTTAGTACACATACTTGTTTCTTTTCTAAATGACATCTGGAAAACTTTTTTATGTATGAAGGTAGTATTGACTAAAGGTGGCATGTTCAGAATTGGAATATTTGCACCTAATCTTGAAGTCAGCTGGCTTTATTAATTGTATGCATGTTTTACTTCCCTTATTTTTGATCTAAATAGTGTTAATAACACTTTCTTTAACAGTGAACTACCTCTCACAAAATAAAGAAATGGATGAGATGGATGAAACTTCTAAAAGAATCCTAGAGCCATACCAGTATTTACTTCAACTACCAGGCAAGTTTCTTTGTACTGTGTTGATTTTTAAATATAAAAATTGTTTTTATAGCAACTTTTGTCTCAGGAAGTATAAGCCAATAAGTTTATCCATTCTTGATTTGTGGATTTAAGAGTAACTGGAAGTAACACTTCTCAAAATTTGTTCTTTTCTTCCTCTTGTAGAACCACCCTTTTTAGTGAGATTGGTAGAAGAGCTCTTGAGTCTGTTGCAGTATAAGTAGTAGTTCAGTTACTTTGCTCTCCATTCAGAGTAGCTGACTTGCTACTTTTTAAAACTGATAAGGGCAAGTACTGAAGACTTGATCCCATTCTTAAAGAACAAAACGTTGTCAGCCCTGTGTTTATCTGCTGACTATACTGGACTCAATGGAGTTGTGTGGGTTGGGTTTTTTAATAGCCTTGTTCTTTTGTGTAAGTTCTTCGCCCTAGTATTTGTAGAGCCTGGTGTTCTTACAGCCAATTTTGGCTGTCCCTGGATTGCTTCACTTTCCAGAGGATCAGCCAGTCCTTGTGTGGTATCAGGTCACTAGCATCACATTCAAATGTAGTTTTCATTCTTGAACAGTACCTATTTTAGTAGAATTTGGGAGGCAATTTGATAGAGAACTGCTGTATGGATATGCCTCTGGGAAGCCTCTTTGACTAAACAGACAGATTTTTTGCTCTGGCTTTTACTTAACACCTAAAGCATAAGGAAGACCATACAAGCTATCAAAGTGACTACCTTTGTAAAAATAGTGGTGGAACTACTTTGTCATTTGGACTATTGTGTGGTTGAATTCTGTCCAGCCTATACTGCATATTGGTGGAGTTAAGGAAGGTACAAAATGTGGTAAATATTAAGGAAAATAATTCTGACCTAAATTATATCTGACTCAGGTAGAAGACCTTCTGTCTAGACAACTATCATAATGAATTACAGGCATAGTACAAAGTAAGTGGCTTTTGCACATCTACAACAAGACCTGTATATCAGCAGACTGGGTCTTGTGAGTCCTAATTCATTATACCTGTGTATAATAAATTTCATTATTAATCTCTACAAATATCCAGGATTGTCTTGTCTACATTAGTGATTTCATTTGACTTGGCAGTTAGCATTACTTGAGTTGAAAAATCTCTACAAATATCCAGGATTGTCTTGTCTACATTAGTGATTTCATTTGACTTGGCAGTTAGCACTACTTGAGTTGAAAAATAAGAAAAGGAAAGAATTTGGCAGTACCATGCCTTTTTAATGCCAGAAAACTCATTTCCCATTTCTTTACAGTATATTCCATTTGGCTATGTTGCATTGGGTGGTGGTTTTGCTAGGGAGCTACCTTGAAAATGAGTCTACAATATTCCGAAGAGCCTTCTAAGAGCTGGTCCTGAAGAAATTTACTTTCTTCCAACATCTTTAAGTGTACTTTTTGTTTGGTTAGGTTATCTCATATAATCACAGTATATTGTAACACCTCTGCATCTTTAGTTGCTTTAGCTATTTTTTAAGCTATGGTAGGTACTAGCAAAAGAAGCTCAGCTTCCTGGTAGGAAATATACAACAGGCAAAAAGTGCCCAAAAGCTTCCATGGTCAAAAGTGCTTGACTGATCTCTTCAGTTATCTTTTGCTTTAAATGATGCATCTAGGATATACACTTAACCTTCCCACCTTGACTCCTGTGGCTAAATTACTATACTTTGTGAGTGAATTCAACCTTGGTCACTCTATGGTGATGTTTTACTTACTGACAGTGCAAGCATTTTACGTCCTCTCCTGCTAAACTATCATAAATCTGATTGTCCACTTCAACATGTTGATCTCTTGTTTATTTCATTTATCTTTTGGGGAAGGTGAGAGATAAGATACTCTTCTTTCTATGCAGAAGTGGTGATGTGATTCAAAAGGGAAGACTTCTCTTAAACCAGGCAGGTAAAAGTGGTGCGTACCTGTGGAAAGCTTGTACCTAGTAACTGGTGAAGCAGTGAAGGTTCGCAATCATATAGCCAGATGTTTACTGTTTCTGAAACACTGGCTTTGCCCAAAGTCAGCTATGCCAAGTACAGATCAGTAGGAGGCAGTTACTTGTGTGAACCTTGGAATCAGTGCCAACTCTGGATGCGAGGAAAAAACTGGGCATATGTTAGCTGTTCATAATTAGGGTGGAGCCCAAATGAGATGCCTGAGCTGAAAGAGGCAGTTTCATTCCATCTTCCTTGTGCTTCTGGCACTATTCTCCTGCTTCTTAACTGGTGCCAGTTCCCAGCTTGCTAGCCAAACGATTAAGTAGTATCAATCACCCAACCTGCTAAAAACTTGCCTAGTTAATTTTCTCTTGTCTTGTTAGTGATCTGGGACAAGGAGCTGTTTGTGCTGGATCAGCCTGAGCTCTGAGAGGCTCTTGCAGAAAGCTTGTCTGAGTATCAAATACATACACTTGTGGCCCTACAATAGTCCACTTGCTTATCTTTTAAGACTAGTTAAAAAACAAACTGTCCAGATGGTTTAGTAACCTATGAGAACGTGAAAGAACTTAGATACATATCAGACTTTGTTTACATAAAAAGGGATTGTGTAACAGTATTAAGGTTGTTTGGGAAAAAAAGTGCCTGGTAACGTCTGTGGTGCAAGAACACAAATTTTTATAACTGCTAAGGATTAATTCCTCAATACTGAAGCTGACTACTCTGCTTCCCATTAATGAAATGAGACTTTTAATAGTAACAGTTTGGGGGTGATACTGAAGCTAAGCTTGTCTGTTTCTTTGACTTCAACAGCACTAGGCTAGAAGCTACTAGATTTAAGGTTTTTTTTTTTACTGTGTGACTATTTTAACTGCTAGTATGGTGATTAATGTTTATTCCTTCAGTAACAATTTAGTGCTTGAGAGAACATACATTCTGAAACTAACTTTTCTTGTAAAATCTTACTGTAGTAGAACAGTGCAATATTAGTTTATAGTGGTGTTCTGCTTAATCTAGTATTCTAGATTCCTTCAGTTTTGTAAACAAAGTGCAATAAATAGGACTAATGTTCACAAATTCCAATATGGTTTGTCTCAAAAATGGCCTGATTCACACATGATGAATCTTTTATCTCCAAATGGCTGGGTTAACAGCAGTAGCTGTTTTGCAGCACTAAGGAGTATGTGGAGATTCGGTTGCAGTAAAACTGACATAGAAAACAGCTTGCTATTGGAAGGGGTAGATTCTGATCCCATTGATGACTGTGCATCTTCCCTTTCATGTCCCTCTGGTCTTGGCTGCAGCCTTTCCTGGGCTTGTTCAACAAGCTAAACAATCAAGAGTGGCTTTTTTTTTCCAGCTTTTTTTTACTGGGTTGTTGCATTTGACCAGCTTGGCGAAGGAGGTAAGCATTGCAGGGCATGATCCCTACCACTGGCACAACTACACCTCGTGCATCAGAGGCCTCAACTTGGGTCAAGTTCCTGAGAGAGGCTGCAGCTCTCCAGGTTCTGAGCTGCAGGGATGCCTGGGGGCATCCACTGGACCAGAAGAAAGTGATGTCCCTGCCCCTAAAAGGTGTGCTGTGGTGGAAAATGTGTGTCACCATGCAAAGGAGCAGCAGAAGCGGATCATCTGCAATGTCTTGCTTTTTGTAATTTCTCATGCTGTGAAAGAGCCTGAAACCTCCAGGTATATTGAAGGAGCGGCAGGAGCAGTCTGTGTATATCAGGATGGGAAATACATACTCCCACGGTGGTGAAGGCTGGGAGCTGATGGCTTCTAGCACCAGGAGAAAAGGTCCTGTTCCTTGAGCTGATGTATAATTGTCAGATAAATTTAGTTCACTGGAAGAAGACACATGGCTGGAAGCTCTGTATACAACAAAGCATTAGTGGCGGCAGCAAGTGATAGTAGTGAGCTCTCTGAGCTTCTGTCCTAGGGAAGTTAGCTGCTTGTGGGTAACTGATCAGTGATGTTACAGAGGGACTGCCAAGGTGTTTCACCCTCTGACTACTTAACCCTGCAGCTCTTCCTCTTGAGCACATTAGGATATAGCAAGGGGATGCCTGGAGCTTATCAAGCATGGCTTTTGGAATGGAGGCCAAGGGCACAGGAAGCCAGGTGACTTTTCTCCATGATCCTCAACCCCCTTCCCCTCACCATCAAGAGGAACAGACAGATCCTGCCTGTCCACAGCTAGTGAGTTGCACAGCTGATATTGATAGAGATTTGAGTTTTATGACCATGGAACTACCTTTGTAGATCAAGCACTACCAGGAGAAGATAGCATCCACCTACCCAAGTCAGAGCAAAAGTGTCTCTACCAACAGGCTGAGCAACTTGATGACAAGGGACTTAAAGTAGAAATTACAATAGAGGGGAATGCCTACACACAGTCAAGTAAGGAAATGGTAAACTTACAGACAATGGGTGTAGGCTGATGTGTACAAGAGACACCTGAAGGCAGCCCATCCCAGGTGGATGCACTCAAACAAGGAAGTGTGAACAGAACAACATGATGGGGGAAGCTCCCACTTTTTCTGGTGATCTGCAGGATTGGGTGCCTCTCTGAAGTGCCTCTACACAAATGCATACAGCATGGGGAATAAGCAGGATGAGTTAGATGGCTGCAGTTTTATTGGGGTATCTGATGTGGGATAGCTCACATAGCTAGAGTCCTCCAAGGTATTGGTATGGACTGCTTAGGAAGGAAGTCTGGGATAGCAAGGAATGGGAGTTGCCTTTTATGTGAAAGACCAGCTGAACTGCATGGAGCTATGCCTTAGGTCAGATAAGCCTGTTGAGAGTTTATGGGTTAAGATTAGGGGGCAGATCAATAGGGGTGACACTATAGTGAGTCTTTTCTACAGACCACTTGAGCAGGAGGAAGTAGATGAGGCCTTTAGACAACTGGAAGATGCTTCATATTTACAGGCCCTGGTCCTCATGAGACCTCAGCTACCTTAGTATCAGGTAAAAGAATCAACAGAGTAGGGTGCAGGCAACCCAGGAGGTTTCTGGAATGCACTAGTGACCACTTGCTAACACAAGTGATAAAGGAGCTAATGAAGGAAGACATTATGCTGGACCTCACACTTAGAAACAACAAAGAATTGGTTAGGACATGACCAGGGCAACCTTGACTGCAGGGACCATGAGATAGTAGCATTCAGGATCCTGAGGACAAGGAACAAGACAAAAATCAGGATCACAACCCTGGAGAGGTTAACCCCATTTTGAATGGGTTTGAAAGAGTTAAGCTAAACAATTCTACATTGACCTTGATCTGTCATAAGTGGCTGCCCAGGTTTAAAAGTGTATATGGCTGCTCTCTTTGCTTCTCTTCCTGCAGTTCACTTGCTGGCTGTAGTGTTCTTGTAGCTGTGTAGGGAGGTCTGCTTGGGGAATTTATCTGTTTAACCCTAATCCATCATAAAACAGAGCTAAACATGAAAGTGTACAATATAGCTGAGGTAATACAGTAGCTTGCTTCCTCCAGAAGGGGAATGCCCCCTTCCCATGGCTCTCAGCATCTGCTGCTTACCCTGTACTAACTCTGGCAGATCTACTTCACAAGCTGACTCAGTATAAAGCTGGCAGAAAGCTAACCTAGCAAAAAGCAGACAGTTTTCTGCTGGGGTAATGAGGTGAATTAGCTTAGTGAGACTCTAATGAGGGCTAGGTTAATAGTCCCTCTGCTCTTTACCATGCTGTTCTAGCCCTTTTATGTACCCTCACTGTAAGTGGGGTGCTGCCCTAAGGGCATAATTTATGGTCACTTTAATGCAGCAAGAGTGAAGAAATACTAATCAGGACCCTGTCCAGAGCTGAAGGTCTGTGGGTTTTAGGTCTGTACCCTGTCACAAGAACAATTGGGTATATAGAAAGTAAGTCAGGCTGATTTTCTTTTTTTTGAGAAGCATCTTATCTGTCTGAAGGGGTGGGAGGGATTGTCCTCAGTACAGCATCTTTAACTTGATCTTTGTTTCAAGGATAAGGGTTTTACATTCTTATCTGTAGAAGGAATTTTGTCAGTCAGCTTCTGAATATTTTTTTTTCCTCACCTTTTACATCTGGCATTACTAAGGAGAAAATCTTCCCATAGTTGCTGTTTGATTTGGGTCATATTGAGGTCTTAAGTAGATTAAACCAAATGCATTTAGCATAACTGATAAAAGCTTGGTGCAGTAATGTCTATTATAGAGCTCTATACAGTAGGAAGAGCTTCTAATTTTGGAAGTCAGACCTCTATATTCTTCAGTTTTGCAATAGTCTGCTTAAAATAATTAACAGAGCAGTGACACATGACAGTGAAGAAACTGTATAATTCTGCCAGAGTTAAGTTTTACTCATTTTACTTTTGTCCTAGTGTCCCTAGATTGTTGTCCCCTCTAGTTTGGGGAGAAGAGAGGTGTATCAAGGAATGGAGGCTTCTGCATCTAGGTTTTTGAGATCAGTATTAGAGGGGTTTGGTCTTCTGCCATCATAGCATGGCTGTAGGCATAAAACATGCATACAGAAAATTACTGTAATATCAAGTAAATTTGGTAGAATTGACTTCAGAACAAGATAAAATAACATTTATGTAGAAATAATGTCCTTTTTAAAGGGGCTCACGCAAGCAAATCTGCACCTGTAAAAGGAAAGATGAATGCTTTGCTATGCATGTAGTGGTTTTTCCTTGAATAGTCAGTGTCTAGACAGCCTTGTTAGTCAAGGTAGACAAGTCTAACAATTCAAATGCTGCCTGTACTAAGGAACTAAAGTGGCTAAATCCATTGTGCATGTTAATAATCCGTTTAGAGTGTGTGCTAGTAGTTATGTTCCCCATGACGAAATAACACTTGTTGCTGAACATCCAGCATTCCATAAGCATATTTTCTAGGAAACACATTCAGAAAAACAGAATTAGCTGCTTAATGTTAAAAAAAAAAGTAGGTGTTGTGTGTATCAATGTAATTAAGAAGTGAATAAAGAGCTGAAGATAAGGTACACTTCCTTAATGTGATACTATCTGACTAGTTTTCTTTATGGACGTACTGAAATACTTGTTAATACTTAACTGGCAAGCCATGTAGTTTGGCAGATGTTTGTAACAGTTATTATCAATTTTTGAGCAAAATATCTCCTCAGTTATGCCATTATTTTAAAACAAAATATTGAACCTCTGATGCAGGTTATTTTGACCCTCCCCTTACACAGTACTGGTGGTCACAATTGTGCAGTGAGTCAGATCAGGGAACCAATCTGGCTAAAATCTGGTCTAACCACATCGAGGAAAGGTGGGAAGTCTCAGTGTTTGAAGTGTTTCAATCTACAGATGTTGTCAGAAACCGGTCTAACTTGAATTAACGGTAGTCCTTAGTTAATGTAAGAGGTTTTTAAACTCTTGGGTAGTACTCCAAATCTTGAATTTGAATTTGAATTCTGGTTACCTGTGTTAAAATAGTGAACTTCTAAGTCAGCAAATTATTGATTTAAATAAACAGGTTTTGAAAAAATAATTTAGAACCAGTTATGTACTTTCCTGATAGAAAGAAAGCCAGCCGTGAGGAGCTTAAAATATCTGTTCTGATATTTGACACAAAACAATCCCTCCCTTCTGCAGAAATTTGTTAGTGTTTAAAACTGAGCCCAGACAGCAGAAATGGAGAACACAAGCCCAGGTAAGAGTGCCCTTTCATACAGGACAGAGCCAGAGGACAAAGCTGTTAGAGGAAAGAAGACACACCTTTTCATTAGTCCCTTCTGATGAAAACTAAAATATGGCGGTGATAGGAAACAGTGGAAATCTTTGAGAACTGAGGCAAAAATTGAAGCCCTCTGAGCCAGGAAGGAAGGTTATTGCCCTTGCTACAGAGCCCAAACCACAAAGCTATTGCTAACTTGGTGGTGACTTAATTAGAAAAGGAAAAATCCTTAGTCTGGTTTCTCCAGGGTATAACACTGCTAAATCTACCCACTTTTATTATTCTGTTCTGTATGTGCTGGTCACACAGTGATAGAGAAGCCTTAGGGAGAGATTCAAATGTAGAAATGTCCTCAGTGCTATGGGCAAGATGCATCATCAATGTGAGGACTAATATTGCAGAATCATTAGGTCAAGTCTCAGTACATCTTTGGGTATGGAACCCACTGTCTAGGTCACACTGCTTTGAAGTTTATGTAAAACTCTTTCCAGAGGCCTTGTTGATGTGAGCTACGTATGCAGAGCTGTTTGTCTAAACCCGTCTTGCAGTTATTCAGAGATCTTGTATGTAGCTGAACTTCTCAAAGTTAGAAGCAGCAATGTCTCAGCGTCTGTAGGGGATGACTTTATTTCATATTGATCATCAGTAGACACTGAATTTGTACATGACTTCTGGCAATTTATTAAAGAAAGCTGGCATCAATAATTTATAGGCATATAGGTTAACTTCCATTACACTTTACAAGGCAGATTTAATCTTATCTGGGTTTAATAGTGATGCTTATTTTAACACTGAACTTGGATTTTTGATCTTTCATTCCTATGAAACAGGGTTCCACCAAACTAGAATTAGCCAAAGCAGAACAAATCCTGTTATTTGTAAGTAGGCTTTTCTGGTATAAATATCTGAATTCTTGGAAAGTTCTACTCTCTTTGGAATGTTCTGTTCAGATTTGTTAAGAGTTATTTATTAAGTATATCAAATGTCACTTCCCTGTTTTACAAATTATGAATAGCAAGTGAAGAGTACTACAGGAGAAAGACCTAAAAATGGATGGAAATAGATACTCAACAAATATCTGTATCTCCAACTAATAATGAATCATAACTGAAACTTCTTAATCTGTATATATACAAAATCAACATGCCTGGCGAACTAGGGCTTACTCTCAGATGTAGTAAGCGGAGCTGTACAGGTTACCAACGTTCTCGGGACCACTTACTAATTAAACTGCCACAACTAAATACAGTAACTGGTAAAAGTGCTTTGCATATTACTGTGAAATGTTTAAAATGGAAGTTGCTGATAATTGATGTTTATACAATGAGGAAATAAGCTACACACTGATATATTTTCTGCTTTCAGGTTATCACACTGATCAGTTTACTTCTCTCAAGTCAGCTATTGTTGTTAAGACAAACTGTTGGCCCTAATAATGAACTATAATATTTTTATTGTAGGTAAGCAAGTGAGAACCAAACTGTCACAGGCCTTTAATCACTGGCTGAATGTTCCACAAGATAAAATACAGGTACTGGCTAACTATTTTTAAAGGGCTGTTATCTTTCTTCCAAGACTACTGATAAGAGATGATTCTCTAACATAGCATAAATGATCAGAAATCTTAAATGCACTAATTTATGAATATATTAAAGTAAAATTTCAGGAAAACAACTTTAGGGCAAAGCTTTGACTGTGATGTAACACTAAAGAAATTACTTGTCTTAAGTAGAATAGTTAGTTCTTTCCAAGTGTGCTCAACCTTCTAAGTTATAGATAAGCAGCTACCATTGTTATCCACTTAACATCACTCAGTTATTAACAAGAGTTTTAAATTACTTATGAAAGAAGCTAGACAGTTAGCTTATAAACTACACAAATATAGTGGTTGAAAAATAAAAATCTTACGACTGTGATACAAGAATAACAGACAGCAGTTAAATCAACTTCACAGAGCACTTCATATTCTGGACCTAAAACTGTGGGTTTATCATACAGTCTAGAGTCCTTACTCCCTAATGAAAAGAATAAAACTGGGAATTCTCCTTCCCTTTTGCTTTTCTGTTGGACAGATCTGTGCAAGATTTGTGGCTGTGTATTTAAACTCTGTCTTGTCAAATGAAACATTATCTTCCTGTCTAGACTAACAGTTTTGCTAAACTGGATATGGGGAGTGCAAAAGATTCCCTGTGCCCAAGACAATGTAAGGAATTAAAATAACTGTTTATGTTTTTTGACTCCTACTCAGCTGGTCCCTAGTTAATTTCATTAATTGTTGACAGAAGTATCTTGCATTTGTGGAGTCTTCTTTAGGGTGGCTTAAGAGAGGAGGCTACTTCCTAGTCCTCAAGTAACAAAATGGTTTAAGTGATTTACACAAGGAAGGAGCTGCATTCATCTAGTAACTCTTATTTTTTCAACCTGTCTATATCTTTAGCCAGATTTATTCTGGCTTCCAGCTAGACACATCTTACCCTTTGCACTCAGCTACATACCCAAGTAAAATGTATTATATAGCAACCTGTGTATTGTATGTATGGATTTAGTCTTAATATAGATCAGAACTCAAACTGGAAGAAGCCTATAGAAATTATCTAGGACAACCCTCTGCTTAAAACAGGATTTCTTCATAGCTACTTCAGGCTTCTGGGGGCCTTGCTAAGTTTTGAAAATCTGAGGATGTGGATTCTTCAGCCTCTCAGGGCCTGTCTTTCTGTGCTGAACCCCTTCCATGATAACAGACTTTTCCTTTCTGTCCATTCTGTTAGCATTTCTTATGCTACAGTCTGACTGTTGCCTCTTGCTGTTTTGCTGAGCACCTGTGACAGTATGGGTCCATCTTTTCTCATGTACTATACTAAATTAAAGATGCAGTGCCTCTGAACAGAAGTTACCAGTTCTACCTGTCAACTTTAAACTGATAATCATGTTAGCATTATTGAAAACTTAGACCACTTGTTTTGGTTATCTTTATGAAGAAAGACAATGCTTTAATGTTTCCTTTACCACTTAAGCTGTTGTGATAAAACTTAATATTTTTATTCTTCCGGTCATTTGAGAACAAAAGACCCTGTCATCTTTTAACCTGACACAATTATTACTGATTTTGTGCATACTTGTACTAATTATAATAACTTAAGCTTGTTGAAGTCTGGAGGACTACCTCTAGTCATCTTTGACATCTCTTGTAATCTGCTTAAGACATCCCAGGTGTCCAGCAGCCTGATTCCCTTTCTGCTATTTGTATTTCTTATATTAAAAATCTGAATTCTGGCACTGGTTATGGGACTTTTTTTTTGCCTTAGATCTTCATGTAGCCTGTTTAGACGATACAGTTGAGGCTACTTTTCCTTGGTAGTTGATTTCACTATTGGCTGCCACCATTTCACTTTTTTCTCAGCCAAATTATCTCTTCCCCACCCCCCAACTTACTGCATCTCTAGTACCCATCTGATGGTGCACTGAGACACTCAGCTTGTTGAATTAGAGAACACTGGGTTTAGCAGATGAACTTTCTTCTGAGAAGGCACTGAAATGGCCTAGTACAGGACAGAGCAAATTAAGGTATTGCATGTAAGGAGGTAGAAACCTGTGTGTTGAAGTGATAGTGCAGCAGCTACTGATTAGATAGGCTGAGGTTGTAAGAAAGTATAAGACTCTGTACTGGTTCTTCAGCTTTTGTTATGAAAATCAGTCTCTTCATTTCCTCAGGCTACTTCCTGTTTTATAAATAAGCGTTTTCTGCTGTCTGAACTTTTTTGCTCTTTACTTTCAATTCTGTCCTCTGATAAAATCAGTGGGTGACAACATAATCTTTACAGGTCAAAGTAGGGCTCACTTCTAACTGGTAGATGAGTCATTAGTGCTATTTAAGTAGGTTGTTCTTGCAGTCATATCTTAGACAAACAATTAGATTGCTGGGTTTTGGGTTTTAATCTTTGGGACAGTAGTCACTGAACACTAGGTGGCTTGCTGCTCCAGAAAATGCTTGCTGTGAAGTCCTTTTTACTACTTGCTATGGCACCCACCAAATAGGAATATTAGGAATACCCAGTACTAGGTACTTGTCACTATTTAATGGTGGCCTTAGTATTTTTTTAGAAGCAGTTGTTTCAATGAATGTTGACTGTGGTGTTTGTAGCCACCAAGTGTAATTGGTTCATTAGCTTTAAAATCATGTCTTAATCAGGTGTGTTTTGCAGTGAGTTCATGCGGTATGCAGTTTTACGTGCTTAAATTTATTTCCATTTAAGCAAGTACTGAATATAACTGTTCCTTGCATGGTAGTTGTGCAATAAAAACAGTATATAGTGTTAAAACTCTTCATTTCTTGTTGAATTGTCCTGCTTTGGAATCGTTAGGGTTAATTTTTAGTCAAATGCAGTCAGCTACAAGCTTGATGTTCTTAAGTTTGTGTACTTCAGGTGGTGTATGATACTGGTCTACCTAGTAACAAGTAGTAAGTGCGTAGGAACTTCCCAAAACAAGTTGTAGCTGTTACCTTTCTGCCAAGAATTTTCCAAATGATGTTTCAGAAAGAATGGTCTGTCCCTTAAGAGCTCAGTACTGAAAATAACTACACAAAGCATGGGGAAAGAAAGAGGAACTCTCCCCACTTATCAAAACAAGGTTTCTAAGACAAATGTGTTAATGGATGATACCTGACACTCTCAAGAACTGACTTAGGAAGATCTCAGGTTAGTGAATCTAAACTTGTCCCAACACTGTGTTGCTTTTCTCTTCCTCTGTTCATGTTTCTAATAACAGTTACTGCATGACTCCTAGACAGTGACATATTTTAGAACTGTAGCAACAATGGAGCATGCAAGGTGAAATACTTCAGTGAGTAAGTTCACTTTGAATCTGAAAACATTACACAAGAGAGACCACATGATCCAGAACTTAGAGCAAACTGGCTGATGAAGAGAATCCTAAATCTGTATTAACAGTAAAAGCAAGTGGTCTAAAGGGGAACCTCAATGATAGATAATATAATTCTTTAAAACCTTATTAATTTTAAATAAAGTTTTGCAAAACCAGAGGTTAAATTATGGTGGGAGACTTAATAACTTTCTCTTCTTGTAATAGGTTATAATTGAAGTGACAGAGATGTTGCACAATGCAAGCCTACTTGTGGATGATATTGAAGATAACTCAAAGCTACGACGGGGCTTTCCAGTGGCACACAGTATCTATGGAATTCCATCTGTAATCAACTGTGCTAATTATGTGTATTTCCTTGGCTTAGAGAAGGTTTTGACCCTTGATCATCCAGATGCTGTTAAAGTTTTTACCCGTCAACTTCTGGAACTCCATAAAGGTCAAGGCTTGGATATTTATTGGAGGGATACTTACACCTGTCCTACAGAAGCTGAATATAAAGCTATGGTTCTGCAAAAGACAGGTGGTCTCTTTGGATTAGCTGTAGGCCTCATGCAGCTGTTCTCCAATTACAAAAAAGACTTAAAGCCACTTCTTAACACACTTGGCCTCTTCTTCCAAATAAGAGATGACTATGCCAACTTGCACTCCAAAGAATATAGTGAAAACAAGAGTTTTTGTGAAGATTTAACTGAGGGCAAGTTCTCATTCCCAACCATTCATGCAATTTGGTCAAGACCTGAAAGTACTCAAGTGCAAAACATTTTACGTCAAAGGACAGAGAACATAGATATAAAAAAATACTGTGTACATTACCTTGAAAATATGGGTTCCTTTGAGTACACTCGAAATACATTGAAAGAGCTTGAATGTGAAGCCTATAAACAAATTGAATCACTTGGGGGAAACCCTGAGCTTGTAGCACTAGTTGAACACCTGAGCAAAATGTTCAAAGAAACTGAAAATTAAAAATTTAACTCCTGGGGTGGATTAAAACTCTTTAAAATGGGGGAATAACCACACTATCTGAGAGATGTGATAATCGGTCTTGCTTAAAACTTTCTTTTGTGGCCATGTTACAGAAATTATTCTTTTAAAACAATTTTTCATTGAGTATTGAAATATATACCCTATTATCTATACAGTCTTAACTGTAACTGCTTACAGATGGCTTTGTTAAAGCAGATGTACTAGAACTGAAACAAGTTTTGAATCTAAATGTGATCTTCTTTGCACAATCATCAGCATTATTTCAGGCTTAAAACTCTCACATCTTTAACTATGTTACTGTAGGTTTCTGGCCAAAATTCTGTGTTAAGTTAGGTTGACATGAGTATTTTGCATTTTCAAACAATGCTCTAGTAAACCAAAATGTACAATGTTAAATAAAAGATACTTGCTGCCACAATGCATATAGAACTGCTGTGTGGTATTTTGAAGTTAGACTTGGGAATATCAGATGGATCAGCTTACTAAGTTCAAAGTTAATATCCTATCCAGCTTTGGGGGATATTTTGTGGCATGTGAATTAAGGAAGATAGTATTTTATAAGCAAGTAAGACTTAATGTTTAGTCTGAAGTAGTAACTTTATAAAGATTTCTAAGTATCTTAGAGAAAAGATTTCATTGCATCAGCAAAGCATAAATTTGCTGCTGATGCCAGCTCTGCAGTGAATAATTTTGATCTCCTGGTTTTAAATTTATAAACTGAAATATTTTGTAGCCAGGGAATTAAAGCTATGCATTAGAGCTCATACATGTAACTGTAAATAGCAACATAGTAAGCTGCTGCTAGAAACGGAATTGGATTCACACCAGGTAACTTTAGGGCACCATAACTGGTGCAGGTCTCTAAGCTCTGCTTATAATTGAGAGGGGCTTTTCCAGGAGCTGATTCATAATTCATACTTGATTCCTGTTCTGAATTGTTATCTGGAGGCATGTTACAGGTCTCTCCAAAGAGACAAGTTCTGTAATTTTTTGCTAAAACAGAGTACAGCATCTTGTTCTACAAGCTATAATACCATTTCAGTTTTGTTAATTGCTTAAATAATGCTTTAAAACTATGTACATAGACATACAGAAATAGAACTAGAACTTAGAGGGATATTTAGAGGAGCAGAGCTGATAAGTGACAAAACTCTCTGCTCATCCGTATATAAACGGATATATATAAAGGTGAACAAAGTGTTAGCAGAGGTGTTTGTTTCTTCTTGGCTGGGCTGGCTTTAATCAGGTTCAGTTCTCTTAGTCTTCACAGGCATATAAAGCTTTGCTTTGGTGTAGGGAGATAATGGTTTGGATCAAAGGTAGGGCTGGTGCTATCAGCAGTGGTGCTAGCTCAAGCATACTCTCAAAAGAAATGGCCAGAGGTACTTGGCTTCTGACAGCTAAAGGATAGTTCTATGCAGGTGTTTGTTTACTGTACCTGGAAAGCAGGGAGAGTCATGGTCTCAGCCGCAGAAGACTAACTGAAGAAGGTTGCTGTAATGTCTTCCCTGGGCAGCATTAAGATTCTTCTGAAAGTGGTCAAGCATGAAAAAATTCCAAATGACTGCTTTCAGTCAGACATTATGCAGTTATGGATGATGGACTATCCCTTTTATCTACATGCTGAGGAGACATCTTTGTCTGCTCCGTGATTAGGCACGGAATAATAGCACTTTCACTGAATGGGCCTGGTTGCCAGGGCTGAATAGCTTAGAGTTGGTGAAAGGTGTCTTTAATGTTAATGAGAGTAAAATGTAATACCTTTTTCATAACTTCCAGTGCTTAGTAGTAAGCCTGTTAAATCTTTAATATTTTATGAGAAAATACTATCTGCAGTGAAGTACAATGTTTTTGTGCCATGTCTTGGGAGTTTCTAAACACTGTTGCAGCTGATATTGAATGAGGGAGAGCACTGGAAAAACTCCTGTTGTCAGGAAAATCTCCTAGTTTTACTGTAAAAGATACCTTGTGCCTATCAGGATATTGTAACTGACACATACAATATGCAAAGTGCACTTAGTACCATTTCATGTCTGCTTAGTTGCTGGATGTAAAGTTTTGTGTAAACAAACATTTTTAATGAGCTACCTTTTTCTTATTTTTGTATAAAATCTCTACCATCTGAGACTTCTATGTTGTCACTTCTTTGGTTCATTCTGGCAACTCACACCAGTATTGTTCTAATACCATATCATAATGTGCCTGCATTAACTTAGGAGTAAGTACATTGGAAGTTTTCCAGCTCTAGGCCCTTTAAACCACAAATGGGTAAGAAGGGAAAAGTGCCCCTGGAAAAGAAAGCTGGACCAACAAACCATGCAGTTCTGTCTTGCTCTTCTGCCTTCAAGGCTTTTGATATCAGTGTTCAAACCCCATACCCTGATGGTATATCTCAAAAGGCCCAGAAGCAGAGTATCATTGCTCTTCACTTTGGTTAGGATGAACTGAGGCCTCTGAGGGTTTTTCTTGATGTATTCAGGAGTTGGAAGAGGCTGGGATCTTTCCCCTTCATCTGTTAAGCAGGTAGAACATCTTTAAATATTAAGCATCATCAGTGATGATACTTCATAGTCAAGGTAGATTTTGTATTTGGTGCCATAAGATGAGGCTGTGCATCCTCATCAGTATTCTCCAATATTGGCTGTGGTACAAGCTCTTGGTGTTAAGAAATGTTAGGAAAATCAGTTTCTTAAAACAGTATGAGAGTTCTCATGGCTGCAGAAATTAGTTGTGTAAGTGCTGCTCTCTGTTGCTATGCCTCCCACAATACAGGGAGTAGGGTTTTTTTTGTGATCTTCACAAGAGCTGCATTGCTGTGGAATGGAAATCTGAGTTGCAAGTGGAAATGTCTATGGGTAAACAAAGGGGATGCTAGTTTCAATGTCAGTCTCTCTGAGCCAGAACTGTTCCCCTCATCTTCCTATCATTTCCAACAAGTTCTACTTTGATCAGGTTACTACTGCATTTCCTGGGGCTTTAGCTCTTGCACTGTGTATAAAGAGAAATGCAAATACTCATCAGTCTCCAGTATTTTCCCCTACCTCAGTCTGTTTTCAGATTTTGTGCTTGCTTGGATGTAAGTGAATGCTGTTACCTGTCCTTGAGTGGCCAGCCCTTGGATAGGACATCTATCTCTGCTTCTTCAAAGGCTGATGTTATCCCCATCAATTATACTGAAGACTGCATCATTTCAGTACCTTCGTGAGGAGGTAGCTTGTCTTCCTTTGAACTCAGTCTCTTCAGGTACCCACTAAGAGCAACTTTGTATGTATCAGCCAGTTGTTGAAAAAACAGCCTGAAAATGTTAATGGCAGTGGGAAAGTAGCTGTTGATAATCCTTTATGCTTTTAAATTTATGGCTGATTTTTCTAATTATTAAATATCTAAATGCCTCCATGTGGAGGCAGGGAGGAAATGTAGGAAATAGGGAAATTTTCTGTATTAATGGCTCCTTTCCCCAGTTATTGTTAAAATCCTAACATTATATAAAACATGGCATCTGGGGGGTTTTTTGCACCTTCCTATATAAAACTGATTTGAACCCCTGAATTGGGCCAAGCTTTTATTTGTGTGCAAGAGCTATATAGGCATCTGTTGCTCCTCTGTTCTGTCTTAATCATGTTTCAGGTTTGATATTTACTATATTTTTTGTATTATTTGCTTAGCACTTTCATTGTAACTTTTTTCTCAGATACATTTCTATTCTGCTACTAATACCATAGCACACACAATACCATCAAACTCAGTTTTGATCCTGGACAAATAAAATAGCCTGAGTTTGCTTTTGAGACATTAAGTCTTGCCTCATCCTCTGAATTCACAAAAGTAATCCAAGATTTTCTGCAGTCTTGAAATGCCTGGAACCTTTTTCCCAAGTGAAAGACTGTAATGTATTTTATACTGCCATAAATTATTTGTGTCCTGTATAGCTTGAGCTCCTTTCCCTCTCCTACCCATTTGCTTTCAATACCTGTTTTGATTTGGTGATAACGCTTGTTAGGCCTTTTTGTGAAAGAACTCACTACCCCTGGGGAAGAGAAGTTAATTTTTGTCTGGGTCAGCAAGAGACTGATAAATGTCAGAGCTGGCAGGTGGACAGAGGCAAGAACAGAACCAGGTAAAGGATTTGAGAGAATAAGAAAATACATTTTAGGTTCTCATGTAATTTCACCTTGTCTTACAGCATCTCCTTCACTTTCCTAACAAAGGCTAAAGAGTGTGGTTATTTTCCTTGAGCTTCCCTTGTGCTTTCCAAACAGAATGTAAGAGATACTTAAATTAAAATGTATTTATTCTAATGGTTATATAAATAACTTGCATATATCATGTCAAAGTTTTGATTAAAGGTACAGCTAAAACAGAATACATAGTTTCATTACTGTATTTCTTTTTCCTCTAAAAATCTTTCTATTATTGAGGCCAGTAAACCATAATCTATGTGCCTGCTTGATTTGATTGTTACCTCACATTGACATCCTTCCCAGATAACTTTTGGGAAGCTTATAGCTGAGCACCTGTGTTCACCTCTTCTGCAGCATTTTCTTTGTAATTACTTTAGAAAGCACCTTTGTGAGGTGTGGCTGGGAATAACTCTTAATTCATTAATTCAATGTCAAGCATATTATCTGCAAAATTTATACTAAAGATGCAGGTTAAACATGAATCCTGATAGTGTTCCTCACCTGTGTACCCTATGGAATAAGTAAGTTCTCACTTAACTCATTGAAAAAGGTATTTACTGAGCATCTCAGTTTATTACAGCACAGAGAACTCTGAGGGATACCCCAAGAAGGCCTATCATGACACTTCATGGAGACCACTGCAAAACATGGCATGAATTTGTGTGGAAGACTAACTCTGATGTGAAGGGAAATCATAGATAACTTTCTGCTTTTGAACTCCATGAAAATACTCTCTGCTCTGTTGGTATATGAATTATAGGCTGCCAGTAAGCAGTTGTCTTTTCTGGATCACAGTAAATTATTTTCACTCTTCATGATATTTGAGTTGCTATTTCTGGACTGTATGCTATGAGTTACTTACTCTTTCAGTAAAGTAATTATTGAAGTCTGTAAAAAGGACAAATGACAAACATACACATTTTTGGTTATGCTGTTTTGAAATACACAAACTGGCCTGTTCTCTTGCTGTAATCTAGCATATGTTTTTCCACAGTGAATTTGTTAGCTGAGCGAGGCATAATAACTTTTCACCACCCCAAGTTGTTAAAATCAGACTGACACCAAGGTCATGTGAACAAATTAAAAGAAAAAACAAAAAAAGTATTTCCAAGGAAAAAACACAAAGTTCTCTAAAAATAGAATTTCAGATAATTGTAGTGTTAATACATGAAGCATGGAACTAACTGCTGTAGTTTTTCTGTGGCTTTAACTGAAGAACCTATTGCCACTTATGCTCTTTTTTGGGGGCATGGGATGGGGTGTACAGGTCAAAGTAGAAATTGTATGGAGGAGTTGTCATTGCTATTCCCAGAAATGTATAAACTGTGCTATAAACATAACGTCTTATTTTACACCAACAGAAATGAACGTTCAATAAATTCTGAAGTTAAATCTTTTTTCACTTAAGTGCTTATAAAATGAGGAAGCTGCAATTCTGGGTAAGGTGAAAATGTTAAATTGGTCTTGTTTTATTGGCTTTGAGGCTCTCCTGTTTCCTGTCAAGCACTTTGGATGAATTGTAGCTGTTGATTACAGTACTAAAACAGAAGAAACAAGAAATGCAACAAAATAGAAAGAATATATAAAGTTATGCTATTCTCATGATCATTTTAGAAATAATAAATACAACAACATGCATGTAAATTCTGAGAATAGCCAAATTACCTATCAAACATGCTGCTGGGGTGTAGGGAAGAGTATGCTGTTTTCAACACCTTTCCTGACATACAGCCAAACAAAGTAGAGCATGCTCTCAGGTTTTTACTTGGGAACAGTGAATGAGTTGCAAAAGGAGAGCAAGAGGCTTACTGCCATTGTTTCTCCTGCCATACCACCATCTGTGTGGCTTCAGTATTGTTTAAAACCAGAACAGATCATTCAAATGATGCCCTCAGCAGGAGATAAAGGGGCTCAGAAACCCAGATGAGACAGCAACACCACCAAAAGCATGGAAGAATGACTAAGGTATTTTTTTTTCCCCCAAGATATTAGTTGGGCTAAGAGAACATACTACCTTTAGCAAAGGAGGGTTCTAAGGTAAAGACTTCACTCTATCTTCGCTCAAATGCTCCTCTGGGGAGCAGCTGTTTAATGCCAGACAGTAAAGCATGCCCTCAAAACCTGTTGCTTGAATATACAAGCCATGTGCCTGTCAAAGAATTTACTTATTATCCAGGTGTTTTGCCAATTATCAGGCCCAGCATAAAGGACACAGCCAGCATAAAGATGAACCAATAACCAAATTGTATTTTATACAAGAGAGTCAGTACATGGGTGAGCACTGGGGGTACAAACACATCAGTCAATTATACATAATCAACATCAATCCCACTGACCCCAACAATGACATCACACAACCAACAATGGGTGGAATAAATGGTGAGATGCAGTCTCCCATAGAAGGGATGGGAGACAACCAAGTCAACAAGCCAAACACATAAGACCAAGGAAGCCACACACTGCATCTCTACACAGGCCATGTTTACAAAAGCCAGACCTGACTGGAGCCCAGTCCCAGGGAGGCAGGAGGTCCTTCCCCAACAGGGAACTCTGCACAGTGCATCCACCTCACAGACAGACACTGCTCTGCCTGCAAGTGGTCCCAGCTTTTATCCCCAAGTGGGACACCTGACCCTTGGTTACTTAATGTGGGACACCTGGGGCTCATTTACCCAATGGCTCTCCCTGCCAGGCCGCTGCACCCTGGAGGGAAGCCTAAAGGCAAACTCACCCCCTCTTCGTGAAGGGCTGTGGGAATCACCCATATGTCAACCTTAATTTGGGGCTTGGACCAGGTTATTTTGATTGGAATATATTAGTGTTACCAAATATCTGTACTTGTTTTCTGTAATCAGTATTACAGAAGCAGAGCAAAGAGTACTAATATGCTGCCTGCCAAAAGTGTGTATGGAATTATTCAGTGTAACAGCAGCAGAGACACAGCACTGAAATAGCTTCTTGATTACTTATCATGCTTGGTTCAGTCTGTGGTCCTAAAATTCAAATAATATTGTTTGAATTAAGTTACAAGACTGAAATATGAAGCACATCAGAGATTAACAAATGTGGAAAAAGTCAACTAGGATACTTTGATTTTATAACCATACAACTGTGAACACTATTGGATCTTGTCATATCTGTCTCTATGGAGCTGAAGAGCTCTCACTAAATTTCTGTTCCCCAGCAACTGCTACTTAAAGAGTGCAGTCAGGTCTTTCAGTTTTTGCTTGTAATCTACACACATTGGACACCTTGATTCTTTTTTTATAAGCTGTTTTCTGTAATTGTTATAGCTCTTCCAGTTCGGTGATATTTTTCTCAAATAGTGTATGTTGAAATAAATGCAGTATTGCTAAATACAACTTATGTGTTGTGTATGCTTGCTTATGGAAACGCCAGCAGCACACTCGCTCCTCCGGCCAGGTGCTGCTTATCAAGGTGCCCACAAGTTCTCCTTCGTCACTGTCTCCCTGAGGAGTGCCCCAGCCTTTAAATGTGGCCTGCCTGCCTTTGTTCAACACACAACTTGCACTGAGGCAGAAGAACGTCTATTGCTTGCTTCTAAACGTGCTAAGTAGGATTTCCATGACATTGGATTAAGAAACGCTTGGTTTAATCCCAGATGAACCCAGCCAGAGTAGCCTAGCAAGATCAAGCCCTGTGAACCCGTGTTTGCTTTTAATTATTGATCAGCCACGTGCTCAGTTATTATAGAATCTTGCTCGCTATCAGACTGGCAGTTGTATGGCTTGCTGCTTTACCACATGCTGCTTTAAAACATGAACGCGGCAGCAGTTTCCTGGGGGAGCGTCCCTGCCTCCTTACAAGCCCACCGCAAACCTGTGGCTACTCCCCGGCTGGCCGAGGCCCCAAG